CTGTGATTCAGCTGTCTTAGGTCTTGGGCCAACCCTAAACCAGTCCAGGGGTCCAGAGAGAAACTGTGCTTTGATTGGTCTGTCTTGAATCTCATTCCCCACCTCTGGAAAGGCAGAGCCTCACCTGAGCATTTGGAGTAGGTGTGAGGAGAGGGTAGCAGCAGCCCAAATGAAAATGGGTGTTGTGTTGTGTTGTGTTGTGTTGTGTTGTGTTGTGTTGTGTTGTAGAAAGGAAAGGGAATGGGAGATAGGAGGCAAATCACTAGTCTTTAGTATGAGGAAGCTGGATTCTCCTTCCAGTACACTGAAAAAAGTCTCCACTTCCTGCTGCCTTGCTAGCAGAATATGGGGTTCTCCTGGTTTGTGAAGCAGGCCATATTCCCCAACATCTCCTTAATTTTCTTAGCTGTGTGTGTGCAGCTCAGGAAGACTACAAGAATTATCTTTTTAAAAATAGCATACAGCCCTGGCTGGTGTAGCTCAGTGGATTGAGTGCGGGCTTCAAACCAAAGCATCGCAGGTTCGATTCCCAGTCAGGGCACATGCCTGGGTTGCAGGCCACGGCCCCCAGCAACCGCACATTGATGTTTCTCTCTCTCTCTCTTTCTCCCTCTCTTCCCTCTCTAAAAATAAATAGATAAAATCTTTAAAAAATAGTATATACTTATTTTAAAATACACTTATTTGTTTAAAAGTCCACATAAGAGACAGAAGACATAATCAGAAGCTGATATAATTATGGTGGCTCTCATTGCATTTATTGGTTTAAAACAATTTTTAAAAATATATAAAAGTAATGGTATCAGGTCATTCTTTAGAAAATATAACAGCTGTAATTCTGCCAGTATTAGGTAGGAATTTCACGTTTGAACGTAGCTTAAATTAAAAAGGAATGGTTGGATTTACAGGTAGTTAAAGGTTACATCCACAGATAAAGGCACACAAATCTAATTGAACAAAACAAAACAGAGATGCATTTTTTTCAGATTCAGCCTGTGGATTACTAGTGTTCTGCCCTTGGGTTAAAGATCAAAAAGCATGAGCCCACAGTCGAAAATCCAGCCCGATCCAGCACGCAGTGCTTATTCTGTTTTTTTTATTGCCTTTTTTTTAAAAGATGAGCAGGTAATCAGATACCCGAGGTACCTTAACATAAAAGATAAAAACTAAAACACACACAGAAATGGACAACCTTAAAAAACATAAAACACTGAAAAGAAAACTACCATTAATATCCTTAGAGAGATAAGACAAGATTTTGCATCCTTCAAGCAAGAGCAAGATGCTATTATAAATGGACATTAAAGAAAAAAGAACTCTTTGTAATAAAAAAATGTATAACAGATACAAGATAATAAGAGTAATGCTGCAAAGGTGAGAAAAGTCCCTGTACAGCTCATGTGAATGCCCCACCTCTGACTTCCCCACTGCTCAAAGTCCGTATTTTGGGGTGTTCAGCAAGGAAAAAGTTTAGAGATACAACAGAAAATAAATTAGTGAAATTCAGAACTTCTCAGCAGTTTTTGGCTATAAAAAATAAATAAAACTAACAGGGTCAAGTCATAGTTTAGAAAACATAAAAACCATAATTCTATCACTCTGACTCAACCACTATTTTAATTTTACAGCATTTCCTTTCAGCTTTTGTTCATTTGAATTTCTCCCAAACTTTGAAATCTTGATTTTTCTTTTTTTGCTACATGATTTTAAAATTACTTGATAATTTAGACATTTTTCTTATTGCTTGATAGCCACCATTATCCCATAAAAGCGACATTGTGTTAAGTAGATCTACCATAATTAAGTTAATCATTTTGTATTATTGGACATTTAGGTTGTCTCTTTTTTAATGTTTTTCTACTAGTATATGTTAAACATGTGGGTGGTATGTAACTTTTCTCATGTCTTATTGTCTAAGAATAGATTGTGTAAAGTGGGATTACCAGTTTAAAGGATATACATAAACATTTTTATGACTCTTGATACCTATTGCCAAATTGCTTTTCAAAACTGCTGCATTTATTTCTAATACCTTCAGCAGATTATTGAGAGGATAAGTTTCATTGAATTCTTGCTAATAGTAGACATTTGAATTCCTAAACATTTTCCTAATTTTTAAGAGGTAAAACATAGGTGTCCTTTTGTTTTAATTTGGATTTCTGTGGTTAGTAGTGAGGCTGAATGCTTTCTGTGTGCTTGATTTTGTAGCTCTGTTTTCTTCTCTGCCTCATGCATTGTCTTTTCTTTGTTTTAGACCCCAAAACAGCTTCTGAAACAGAAACAGATATCTGTGCAGAATGGGAGATCAAGACCATCACTAGTGCTTTGAAGACCTACCTAAGGTAGGGACTTTCCATTAGCAGGGCAGAGTGCCAGCTCGTTATCAAGCAATCAGGAAGAAAGCAGTTTTATTTTCAGTCTCCAGAGAGCTGTTGGGTGGGTGTTTGAGATGTGGAAACAGCTTATGTGTGGGTGCAGTAAGCTCAGCTGGCCAATCCGATTGTAAATCATCCATGGTTGATAGGTTGCCATTGTGCAGTGGTGCCATGAGTGATTTAGGAGGCTTTGTTCTTTATGAGAAGCTACTATGACAATTAACCTTTAATAGAACCGAAGATACCGTATTTCCTGAAATCCCTGAATACTCTATTAAGAAAACAAGGAATCCCACCCCATTGTAGTGTGAATGTATGATTATGTACCCTATGTATTTTGATAGATTTGTGCATTGCAGATTAAATATATTATTGACATTGATCCTTAAAAATGAGAACTCAATGGAACTCTTTTAGACTCCTTCAGCTTAAATTGGAAAATGTCACTTTATTGGGGAAGAGACTATTTTCCCATAATAATATATGTGATATTCCTGCTGCCTGCCTACACGTCCCTCAGTTATTAAGAAAGTAGGTAATTGTCTAGCCGCCTACATCTCAACTCAATTTTAGGAATAGATTGAAATTTATGATGGACTTGAAGGGTAGGCACACTATTGTTCTTTACTGTAGTTTTTACACAGGAAGCTGGGGGTCTAGTCTTAAGCAAAGAGGAGAACTATCATCATGGGTTGTGTAAGCATTTGTACAGGTTCTGTGACCATTCTCTTGGCTCAAAAACAAAATCAGAAAGTCACAAAAAAGGAGTTGGTGATGCAAGTTTTATTGGCTTTTGGAGAATTGATGGAAGGATCTTGAAGTCAGGAAGAAGATGTAACGCAAGTGATGACTAAGAGTTAATTAAGGGATTTGATGAGCATAAAATAAAATCTGAGCCAAGAATAATGTATGGTCTGTTGAGAAGCTTATTATTTGGACTATCAGAAAAACCTCAAATTTACAGTTTAACATATTCATTGAATATTTATACACTTAATACTTCCATTATAGTTTATACAAAACCATATTGTAGAGGTTCACATGTAGCACTACTTTTTACATGTTGATGGTGATTTGCTAATAAACAGTAAGTCTAAAATAGCAGGTAAAATTTTATTGTTTCATGCCTAATGTCAGGGGTTCTAGCCCTTTGGCATTCTTGAGCAGAATTCCACGGTGAATTTGCCACAAAAACACCTACAAAAAATCTCTCATAGTATTTACAGATGAACTGATCGTAATAACAAGGTGCTGGGAAGATGAGAGTTTAAGTACAGGTATTTGCAAATGTTTAGCTAGTTGCCTATTTCTCAGACATATTTTAAAATGCTCTTGTTGATGAGTGAGTCACTGCCTAAAAAGGAAACCTCTTGGTTTGTGCTAGACTTTTTTGTATCAGTTGTGACAACAAAACAGTTGTATCCATTTCCTTAAAAAGGAGGGAGAATTAAAATTTCAGGTAGAATCTCAGGATCTTTCAAAGGGAGACTAAGTTGAGTTGCTGTTGTTTCCCTGTGTGTCTTTGAGAAATGTAATACAGTTTGGCAGTCTCCAGGCTACTATTTAGAGAGAATACGACTGTTTTTTATTAAGCTAACTAGTGTGTAACCTTTTATTCCAGAATGCTTCCAGGACCACTCATGATGTACCAGTTTCAAAGAAGTTTCATCAAAGCAGCAAGTAAGTTTTCTATTTTGTCACAGTTTTAAGGGGAAGGGAATAGAGTTTTCTATTTCAAAGAACAGTCAGGATCCCAAAATAAATATTATCTAACACTTCATATTCTGCATGTAAACTACCCACACACACCCATGAGTTCAACACAGAATAAAAACGAAACCAAACTGGGATTGCCGAGGGCCTTGCTACTATGCTGAATTTACAGTGCAGGAGAGAAACTTCCGAAGTGTGTTTCTGAGGGTGGGGAGAGGACAGGAAAGCAAGTTTGCCTATCTAATTTTGATTATTGGCATTCTAACTCCTTGGGTTTTTCCCAGCCCTTAAATAACATTTTACAGAATGAATCAAATTTTGCACATTACCTAAATTGAGCATTGGAAGTGTTTCCCTGAATGTGACACCATTTATATAACTTCTCAGTCTGCTTTCTATCATGACTGCCATTTACAGCTTCTAATCATTCTTCAGCTATATCATCCAGGTCTCTAGCATCACATTACTGGTATTAAAATACATAAGGATTAGGTGCGAGCTACCCTAAGTATGCTGGAATTTGTCTACGTGGGGCATGCCTGCTGTAGGGACAGTGAGATTCTCTATCAGATTTAAATCTGGCATGAAACCCCACAGTGCTATTACACCCCTAGTCTGTGCCTCTCCCTGCTTGCTTTATGTCTTCAGGGTTTGTTTACCCTGGTAGCTACTATTGGCCTAATTCCGTAGCAAGTAGTGTTCTGATGGCTGTATCTACTCATAGTTTTCCCCTTCAAACAGGGAGGAGAAAGGCATGGGAGAAAGCTAGGAGTGAAGATAGTGTTTATGTGATATCTTTCCCAGAGAAATTCCAAACCCATAGCAACCATTTTCTAATTAAATCTCACATCAGTCCTATAAATAGGTATGGACTACCCTCCTTCTGCTTCCCAGAAAAATGGAGCCACTTACCCAAGTTCAACCAAGAGTACACAGCAGACCGTGATTTAGGTTACAGGTTGGCAGAAAGATTCACATATTTACGTGCCATTTCTTTCTTCTCTACCAGGCTGGCTGTCACACATGGTTTGAGAATAACTGGACATTGCCTTTGATTTCTTTGACACTATCATGAGGCATTTTGCTATTTGAGACCCTTGTAATGTTGTTCACTTATGATTTGTTTATCACTTACTGAGTGCATGAAGTTCCTTCTTTCCTTGAAATGAAGACGTCACTCCAGGGAGTCAGCTGCTTCCAAGTTTGTTCCTGCTCTGTTCAGTTGACTGGCTCCATTTCATCACGTCATCATTTTGGCTTGATTTTTTTGATGGCCTTTTTTTTTTTTAATGAACTCTTTTACAGAAAGCACCACTAAAAGCACTTGTACAGATAGTCATTCTAGTCATGAGTACACAGAACAGTATCTTAACCCTTTGAGAAATCCTCAGTCTGTCTGTCCAACCTTCTTTTTCCTTTGATTTTGTCTTGTAAACTGATTTAGCTGTGGCACTGATCAAATGTTACCTCCCTTCCACTTTTGCAGAGCTGGAGAATCAGGAGTCTCGGGTCTCTGAAATCCACAGCCTTGTTCATCGGCTCCCAGAGAAAAACAGGCAGATGTTACAGCTGCTCATGAACCACTTGGCTAAGTAGGTTTAAGAGTGATTTCTGGCCCTTTTCTCACCCCTAGAAAGTTTCTATCTTAGCACTGAAGCTGGCCTCAGTTCTGCTTATGTTTGCCTCTCCCATTATTGCATCAGGTATGCTGGAGGCTTAGGAAAGAAATGTGTGAAATGTTAACTGCAGAGGATAACAGCAGCAAATGCCAGATGGTCTTAGCAAAGTGGGCTGGGAAAGTGCCCCATTCAACCAGACTGCTAGACAGAGTTTTCAGGGGGGTTTTGCTCTTGCAATGACCAAGGGCAAGCAGGAGTGTGTTATTTATGATAAGGTCACCATCCAGAGTTTTCTGGAGTTATATGTTCTTGTGACAATCAAGGGGGAACAGGAATATGTTGTGAGTTTACAGACCTTAGATTTGAAGTAAAGAGGCCTGGGTTCCAGAGTTGAATCTGCTCTTACCAAGCCAGTTAGCCAGCCCTAGACAAACCACTGACCTCTCAATTCCTTAATTTCTTCACCTGTCAAATATGGCTAGTAGACTCCCTCTCATCTACAATGTCATTGATTTTTTAAAGTTACATGTATTAAAATCTTTGAAGTAGTATAGAGATTAAAGGAATAATACCCACTTGCTCTTTAAGATCATCAAAGCATTCAGTGGGGGCCTGATTTTCCTGCTGGGAATATTTATATTCCTGGAATGGTTTTGAATTTTTATGTGTCTTCTGTTGCTTGACCCTTTTCAGAATGGTCTTACTGTCTTCCCTTGTTGTATCAGTTATTGGATGTCTGTCTGTTCTAACCTGCCATTGACCGATGAAATGTTCTTGATTGGAACTGGAGCATAAGAGAAGACAGAGTCTAACAGTTAACCTAAGTTGTTAAGCCCTGGATTCCACTGAACTGATGTAGCGTTGGACCTTTCCCACACTTGTTCATGCCATTAAGTCATTTCTTTGGGATAAGTTGGTACTTTGCTGAGGGAGATTATGGTGGTTTGTTTTCATATTTATACCAAAAGCTTGATATTACCTTTTGGAGAGAGAGTACATATGTGACCACAAAGATTTCCACAGGTCTCAGTATGAAGAAACAAGAATGATTTTCCTGTTGGTGAGAAGCAATTCGGCAGTCAAAGGTTGCTCCGTTATTGGTCAAATGTCTTTCTTGCCATTCTGTAGCTGAACTGTACTGCAATAATTATGATTTAGTTTTATTTTTTAAATTAATTAATTTATTTTTAGAGAAAGGGGAAGGGAGGGAGAAAAAGAGGGAGAGAACCATTAATGTGTGGTTGCCTGTCATGTGCCTAGGCATGTGCCCTCACTGGGAATCAAACCAGTGACCCTTTTGGTTTGCAGCCTGGCACTCAATCCACTGAGCCACACCACTCAGGGCGTGATATTGTGATTTATAAGAAATATAAATATTTTTCATGTGTATATTTGGTCTTCATCCACAATTCCTGGCTCATGACTTTCTGAACCCTTGGAATTTCCTAAGTATTGATGGGGTACAGAGGTGTCTTTTGTTATGGTAATGAGGTGACTTCTGGAACCAACCCTATGATAGGACGGTTGGAACTTTCGGTCCTGCAGCCCCCCATCTGATGTTGAATCAGTTGCCAATGGCCAATGTTGTGACTGTAAGGAAGACTGTAAAGTCCCAAGAGGATGGATGGGGTTTGGAGAGCTTTGGGTTGGTGATGACGTGGAAATGTGGGAGAGTGGCGCCCTGGAGAAGGCATGAAGCTCTGTACTCCTTCTCTATACCTCACTTTATGCATCTCTTTCATCTGGCTCTTCCTGAGTTATATCCTTTTAAAATAAAATAGACTGGTGATCTAGTAAGTAACATGTTCCTCAGAGTTCTGTGAGGCTGTCTAGTAAACTAATAGGACCCAAGGAGTGTGTTTGAGTACTTCTGATCATATAGTCAGTGAGTCAAAAGTTGAAGTGAGAACCTGGATTTGGGATTGGAATTCTGAGTTTAGGGGGTTGTTGGAACCTCCAATCAGTGGCCAGTCATTCAAAAGCACAGGAACCTGGGCTTGCATCCTGGGCTTGCATCTGGCATCTGAAGTTTGTGTGTGTGCATGCACATGTCTGTGTTTTGGGGTGGGAGCAGTCTCATAGGACTAAACCTGTGGACTCTGATGCTGTCTGCTGCTAAACAGAAGTGAGTTGAAGTCTCGGATAGTTTGCTGGTATTCTGAAAGTTTGTTGGTTTGGGGACCCTGCCCTCCCAACATAGATATGAAGTCTGGGAACCCAGTTTATCCATGTTCAGAAACAAAGCAAAGCAGAGAATGTGCAGTTTTGCAAGGAGAATGCCCCTGAAGAATCCTGATGAAGTGTGTTTGAAATAATGGGAACTGGGCTTTAAAAAGTAACTCCAGATGCTCTGAGATGACGGTTTGATGCCTGTTCCATCAACCCAGTCAGGCATTTTTTTAAACAGAAAAGCTAGATCTTAGTTGCAAACCTTTGTGCACTTGAAGGGCCTGCACCAAAACAGAGGGAGTTGCAGATACATGGTGCAGCCAAGCATGTGTGGGATGCTCCTGACTGCTTGTGGTCACTGGGTCTTATGAAGCCCTCCACACCTGCTGGGAGCAACTGGCTGAGATGGTTTAGGAGCCAGATGAAAACCGTTGGGCTTTTTAAACTGTGCAGTTGTGATGAGATCTTAATTGCACCAAGAAAGAAAGAGTAAACGGTGAACCAGCAGAGCCAGTGCTGAATCTTACCATTTTTAAAATACCCTGAGAATTGTTAGGAATCTTTAAATTAAAAAAAAAAAACAAACAAACAAACCCTTAAGGTCAATCTTGAACAGTTGAATCTTCTTCTCCTGCTGGATGGTTCACTTCCTCCCTCTTGTTCCACTCTCTGCTTGCTCAGTCCCATTAAATCCAGTCCATCTTTGTCCCAAACTCAAGGAATCATACAACTGGACTATGCAAGTTACAGCTCCGACCTTGACTTTTTGCCTTCTAACCAATTTTGTTGCTAGATTTATTTACTTTATAGCATTTCTGGAGCATTATACGTTGTTTTTGATGCTTATCATGGATTTTCTTTGAAGTTATATGGCATTTCCTTGTTCATTTAACCATTAAGAAATCCACATATAGACAAGCTCTCGTGCCTGTAACATGAGTCTGTCAGAGCTGATGTCAGAACACACACACTTCAGTGCTCTGCATGCTGTGTTCACTGTGTTCTTGGCCTCTGGAGCCTCTGGATTTAAAATGTCTTGGAGAAGATAGGTGTAAATGAGCACTGCTGAATCCAGTAAGGAGTATTTATTTAGGTCTGAAAAAATTCTTTGACACCCAGGGGAGTTCTAAGATTGCACTTAAACTCTATATGCTCATTTACAGCACTGTCCTATTTTAAAAGAAAGCAGTAAGGGAAAGTTAACTTGGGACAAGGGATTGGTTTGTCTGTTGCATTCCAGTTTTCTCAGGTTCAGACTTACCCTAGGATATGCCTGAACTATTGTTACTCTGGTCCACTTACTTAATGTTCAGCTTCCTTCCTAAGTTTTGGTTTCAGGGCTGGTTCTGCTGGAAAGCCCAGTGTTTACTTCTCTCATTACCTACTGTGCTTGCCCTGTGTATCACAGATGTCTGGTTCAAAGGGGAGACATTTTGTATTGTGTATTTTTTAAAGTATTCTTTACAAACACTTTCCAAAATTGATTTCTTTTATCTGTCGAAGGAGAGTTAAGACATTTCAGATTTAATCCCAAGAAGATACACATTCAGAGGGGAAAAAAATCTTAAGGGAGAAGGGATAAAAACTTCAAACCTCCAAATATGATTACCAGGGTACATCCAAATCATAGAGCTCTTGGATTTGTTTCAGACCTCAGAGGGAACATGAAAATTATAGGCAACTATGCACATATTTTTGTGTTCCAGCTCAAATCTACTCTGATAATTGATGTTTTCTATTTGGATCTTGGAATCTAGTATACAGTGTGTAGTCATGCACTGCAAAGCACAGTTAGACTCACCTGGGGTGCTTGTTTACATTGATGTTGCTGGGCCCCACCCCTGGTCTACTAGAGTGGACTTACCTGGGAATCTGCTGGTTTCCCCCCAGGGCATTAGGATGCAAACAGTCTTTTGAGAAACACTGGCCTAGAGAATGGCCCATATGCAGGGATTTTCTATATGAGAGACAAATGGTATTGAGAGGAATGGATTGGGATTTAGAAGGTATTAGAAATAGGAAGAAGGTCAAAGCAATGAGTTCAAAAAGGAGATTTTTTAATAGTTAAATAATTAATAAATTACTAAAAAATATCCAGTTTTGATTTCCCAGGTCTTTACCATTTGATCTTTCATTAAACTGAGTGTTCAGCAAATGACTATTTTAAATCAAGCATAAAGCATTTTGATTAATAAAGAAAATTGTCCCCAGCTAGCTGTAGGACCTTGTAGAAACCATTCAACCTCTTTTGAGCCTCAATGTTCT